CAGTATTTGTACTTACCATATTTTGAGGAAGCCTTTCCCTGAACCAGAGAATAATGAGTGTCAGGGAGTGTGGAGTAGCTTGGGAGAGATGGACATCTTTGGTGTCATGGAACTTTACTCCTGAACACCTGAAAGACACCAAGAGCCTAAACAGATATTTGAGACAGGGATTTTGCAGCTCAGGCAGATCTAAGGAGGCACAAATGATTTGTGGCCTGGCTAATGCTTATTGGGCCTCATTCAGTACTATCCCAGAGAAGGGGAGTTTCTGAAACAAAGAGTCTCTTGCTCATATTGCTCATGTTGCTAGGAACATCATTCTTGTGGTTAAGCCCTCCAATTATTATCCATTACTGGTTTTCAACACTGGAAATGAAGAGGTAGGCCAAAGAATTTACTGGGTGATCAAAAGGGACTTCAGGGCTCTGGGAAGACTTCTGAAGGGATTGGGAGTGCAAACTGTGTTCTCCTCTGTCCTCTCTGTTGGTGACTGGGATCCGCACAAAAGGAGGAGGGTGGACATGCTGAATGAATGGCTTTGCGAATGGTGTCACTCTCAGGGTTTTAGATACTGTGGCTTGGGATGCAGCACTGAGAAAGGGGGAATGCTGATGGTGGATGGGAGCCGACTAATTTGCCGATGGTTTACGGGCTGCATCAGCCCGGTTCCTTGACTAGTGGGGCAGAGGAATCCACAGATCAACGCCTCCAGAAAGGGGAAACAGGGACCCCGAATAATTAAAAACAGCAGCAACAATCTGGGGAGAAACAAACTAATTTACTAAATCTAGTATTGGAATGCAAGATAACACATAATAACACATACAGTATAATTAGAACTGAAGCTAACAAATCAAATATAATGAGAGAGTCCAAAAAGCTGTAGGCCTTACACTAGTGCTGAGGCAACGTGTATGGTCGGGACAAGCAGCAGGGAGGAGAGCCAAGAAAAAAGGGACATCAGGTGACCTTGCCAGAGGTTGTATCTCTGCTCTGGATGCTGTGTTCTAAGGTATGTAGTTCTCTTCCGGACAGGTATCTGGAACTGTAGCATTAACTCCTTAACTCCCAGTGCACTACACGATGTTATGATGGTGGAATACTAATAACCAAAAATAATAAAACCGTAACATGACTAGAAGGGCCACAAATATTCTTGGGAACAAGCTGGCTGGGCTGGTTAGCAGGGCTTTAAACTAGATATGATGGGAGGTGGTAAGGGAGAACTGCAGACTTGTCCTGGAGGTATTAGGGAGGGTTCCTATGAGAAGGCAACAAAGCCAATAGCTAAGCTAAAGTGCCTCCATACCAATGCACGCAGCACGGGAAATAAACAGGAGGAACTAGAAACCGTGGTGCAATTGGGAAAGCATGACCTAATTGGTATCACAGAAACATGGTGGGATGAATCCCACAATTGGAATACCCTGATTGAGGGCTACAGGCTTTTCAGAAGGGATAGACAGGGTAGGAAGGGTGGCAGAGTTGCCCTCTGTGTTAAGCAGTGAACAGATTGTGAAGAGCTGTGTCTGAGGAACAGCCACAATCAGGTAGAGAACTCGTGGGTAAAAATCAAGGATTGGTCCAATAAAGAGCATCTAGTGGTTGGGGTCTGCTACAGGCCACCTGATCAGGAGGAGCCTGTTGACAAGGCCTTCTTGCTTCAGCTGCAGGAGGTGTTGCACTTGCAGGCTCTTGTCCTGATGGGGGATTTCAACCACCTGGATATCTGCTGGGATAGTGGCATGGCGAGTGCCACAACCCAGGAAATTCCTGGAGTTTGTTGAGGAAAACTTCCTGATCCAGGTAATTGATGGACCAACCTGAGGTGAAGCCTTACTGGACCTGGTGCTCACTAATCCAGAGGAGTGCAATAGAAGGGTTAAGATTGGAGGCAGCCTGGGCTGTAGCGACCATGCCTTGGTGGAGTTTGTCATCTTGAAGAATGCAGGCCTGGCAAAAAGCAGAGCTAGGACCCTGTGCTTTAGGAGAACAAACTTCTGGCTGCTCAAGGAATTGCTGAGTGGGATCCCCTGGGAAACTGTCTTTAGGGGCATGGGCACAGAACAGAGCTGGCAGCTCTTTAAGGACACCCTTCTGAGAGTGCAATGGCTCTCCATCCCCCAGCAGAAGTAGTCAAGCAGGGGAGGCAGATGTCCATCATGGCTGTGCAAGGACCTGCAGCTTAAACTGAGAGAAAAGAGGGAAATGTAAGAAAGTGGAAGCAGGGTTGTGTATCCTGGGAGCAATATAGGGTTGTCCGTGTGTGTAGAGACTGGATTAGGAAAGCCAAGGTGCAGATGGAGCTGAACTTGGTGAAGGATGTGAAAGGTAACAAGAAGGGGTCCTACAGGTATGTAGGCAGGAGAAGACAGGCCAAGGAGAGTGTTCCCCCTCTGATGAAAGGTAATGAGGAGTTGGCTTCCTCAGACATAGAAAAACCTGAGGTACTCTATGAGTGCATTGCCTCTTCACAGGTGGTCAGGCTTCCCATGTCTGCCAGGACCGTGAGCCTCTAAGTGAGGGTGTGGGGAGTGGTTTCTGTCCCACTGTAATGGTGCAAAAAGTCCAAATCCACCACAAGAAACTGAATGTATCTAAGTCCATGGGGCCAAATGATATCCATCCTAGGGTTCTGAAAGAGATGGCTGATGTGGTTCATCATATTTGAAAAATCATGGATGTCTGGTGAAGTCCCCTGAAAGGGGAGAAGGGCCCCACAAGTGAAAATAAAAAGGCAAGAAGGCTTCACAGTGACTGAGAATAAAGGGGGTGAAGGGGAATAGTTAGAGATAGGTTATAGAAGCAAGAATGTAGAGCTTGTTAGAAAATAAGAGATGGCAGACACTAGGTCTGGAACAGTGAGGGGTATAAAGGCCATTAAGATAAGTGTTTGAGAACAGCCCCAGGACATTTGGCAGGGAGGTGATCAGATGACCACAGGGCAAGAAGAAACCAGTTGGGGGGATGTGCCCCGAAAGGTCAGAAGTTTACAGCAAGGTCAGAAGCCTTCGTGAGGAAGAGAACAAATGTTCATCCCACGACCCACCCTATGCATGTGCAAGAGGGGAGGGTTTGCATGCTAACGAACTGTCAGGGGTGAAATGAATAAGTATCCAAATTCCAGGAAAACTATTGATTATGTATTAGTTCCTATATATTATATTATTATTATATATTATTATATATATATTAGCCTATATCTGTAGCACGATTTTACCAGGTGGTGTGCAAGTTAGGCAGATCTATTCCCCTTGCACCCGGTGTCTGCGCAGCACTGAATAAACCATACCTGCTTTGTAATTTTACTTGGGTTACAGGGTTTGATTCCGCATGTCACCCCGATGACTGGAGAAAGGGAAACATTCCTCCCATTTTTAAGAAAGGGAGAAAGGAACACCCGGGGAACTACAGGCCAGTGAGTCTTACCTCTGTGCCTGGGAAGATCACGGAGCAGATCCTAACAGAAGCTGTGTTAAGGCACATACCAGATAAAGAAGCGATTTGAGACAGCCAGCATGGCTTCACCAAGGGCAGATCATGCCTGACCAATCTGGTGGCCATTATGACGGAGTGATGGCTTTGGTGGATAGGGGAAACCTGGTGGATGTCATCTATCTGGACTTCTGCAAGGCCTTTGACATGGTCCCTCACCACATCCTTCTGTCTGGAGAGCACAGGCCTTATGAAGAGTGGCTGAGGGAGCTGGAATTGTTTCATCTGGAGAAGAAGAGGCTCAGGTGAGACATTGTTGCTCTCTGCAACTCCCTGAAGGGAGGTTGTGGTGAGGTGGGGGTCAGCCCCTTCTAATGCGTAACTAGAGATAGGACTGGAATGCATGGCCTCAAGGTGCACCAGGGGACGATCAGGTTGGATATTAGGAAGAATTTCTTCTCAGGAGTGGTCAGGCATTGGAATGGGCTGTCCAGGGAGGTGATGGAGTCACTGTCCCTGGAAGTGTTTAAGGAGAGCAGACGTAGTCTATAGGGACGTGGTTTAACAGGCAGTACTGGTGGTACATAGACAGTTGGACTAAATTATCTTGGAGGTCTTTTCCAACCTTAATGATTTTATGATCACTGCTTCCCTCAGACAAACTGCCTTAAATATAATTGTTTCCATCCTTTCAACTATTATACAGAAATCCACAAGGTAGTGATCAATCTAGCTTGCACTGCCACAGTTCTGGCACACTGGAAGTTTTCCAAAAACCTGAAGTCATGTTAGATCGCCTATCTTTGTAGTTGTGAGACACATAAGTGCTGCCAGTAGTGAGCCAAAGTAATCTTAACAGGTACATACCCAGACTCAGTGCAGAACTCCCACCACAGCAACTAAGGAAAACTCAATCTATCGAATGTAGTAGCTATCAAATTCTCCAAGTTTATTTCAGTTGAGCTATCCTCCAGAGTACCTGGGATTATAGTAGCTTTCCTTCTAGCTTCAACACAGACTTGTTCTACCAATGCCCATTCCTAGCTCACGAGTCAAGAAATTGCAATCCCACATGCTATAGCTTTCCTCCAGGATCTTAACTCATGAGCTGCTGAAGTCAATCACTGTTCAGTAGTTTTCTTAATTAGCTGTCACTTGGCAGTATTCACTCAGTTTCCTGAATGCTGTCATTACAGAGGATTTCATCAAACTTAAAGCCCATCTTGATAAAGACTTCAGAAGGAGACAATTATAATGATTAACTGACTGTAATAGAAAAACGGCACATTACATGACTGTTGTAATCCCATCACCACTATTCTGAAAGACTGTTCTGGCTATCTTACAAAGAAAGGCTAGTTCCAAGAAACACACAGCATATTGGATCTACAACTGATTCTGCACTTTGGCTGCAGGACCATATATTATAGTAACTCAAATTAGTTTTGAAATGTATATATTTATAGCAGCTTGCCAGCCTGCTTGCCTGACCTCTTTCCACTGTTCCCCAGCGCCCCCTTCCCAAACAATGCTGCAGGCTATACCAAAGCACTAAACAAGTGAGCTATTGAAGACAAGTCTTTATTCTGTTTTACTACTCAATTTACAACTATTCATGTTATAAGACTCTTTTTTAAAAGCTATTTAATGTAAACAAGGACTGTTTTGTGCAACATGTGCCAACCAACGCAGGAAGTACGACTACAAAAACAGAATGGTAGACAAAAACAGAATGGTCGAATGATTTCCATGGTAATCCGTACCGTAGGTTTCTTCCACAAAACAATTATACAAAGCATATTTGCAAGTTTCATAAAATCTGAATTTTAGACTGAAGTCTGAAACAAGACAGAAGATAACATTTCACTGGGGTAAAGGAATGTCTTATTTCACATGTACAACCATTTCTGGTGTTATCTTCCCCTTGCATTTAAGGAAATACTTGGATGTGGTACAATCAAGCATCTTAGGGATTGCTTTTATTTTTGTATCTGTTTTAATCTGCAGTTACTTTAAAAACCTCTGGTAATAGAACACAGCATTACAAAGAATCACAAGTTTTAATTAAAAGAAAACAAGTCTTAATCATACATACTATACAGTTCATAAATGATTACGATATGGACAGCCCTGCTTCTTACCTATACTCACTATACTATTATTTTTTGGTGATCAGACTTAAAAAAATAAATCCTTTGCACATTCCAAAAATCTACAATTCACCACTCCAACTCATTCTTAAAATCATTAGAAACAGAAAAGACAAGATAATAAATATATTTTAAATTGACAATAAGTTGTCTAGTCTTTGAGCTTCAAACCTTATCATCTGAGGCTCATTTCAGATGCCCTATTAAACATGCTCATTTCCCAGATGTCCAAATTAATTTTTTATTAAAAAGAAAAAAATCCTCTATAAGTAATCAATTCAGTGCAGTTCACCTTTTAGCAGGGCACTGCTTCAAGTTTATCAAGCAGTGCACTCGGGACATTAGGTTCAAGTTATTGCTAGGTACACAGTACTGAAATGTTTTGGTTTTTTTTTTTTTTTAACTTCTGTAACAATTTGTGTGTTGTGTTCACTGGTTAGAAACCTGAAGGTTTTTATTTTTTAATTAGACGTATTGATTATGAAATGTGAGAACTAAAACCAAATACTGTTTAATTGAGAGAAGTTTCTCTTTTAAGTGTATTTTTTCAGCAACACTTTATGGTAAAATCATTGATCAAAGTTTTTCAGGAATTGTTCCATTCATACAGCGGCTGCACAGAAGTCCCAATTCTAACCCATTGCTTTGTAATGCTATGCAATTCTGTTCATATTGCAAATTTTTAACATGTTTTCCAGTCCCCTTGACATTTAGACATGACCAACTATTTCAGGCTCAGTGTGCCAATAGCGTGCATTTGTCACTTTGAGACAGGCCCTTCTGTGAGCTGCTGCTCAGAATTGGAAGCATATTTCCATGCAGCATCCTGGAATTGGTTATCCTTGCTACTAGAAGAAACAAACACTACTTCAGCTGGAGCAACCACTGGAACATATTCTGAATAATCCACAAAGGTTTACTTCAGAGCTCTACAAATGCAGACATTTCAGTATTTCCCTTACAGTATTTCCCTTTCAATCTCCTTTTTAGTCAGCAGGGCTGGAAGAATGCCATACTTAACAAGAAATTAATTTGAAAATAACCTTTTAAGCAAATACAATCCAATTTAACTAAATCTCATTTGATAATGCAAAAGGAGTTCTCAGCTTCCAGACTTCCTCATTCTATTACCATTGTTCAGTAGTGGCTTTTTTTCCATTGAAGATATCATGAGATTTTTAAAAACTAATAGTTTTGGCAGAAATTGACATACCAAAATTACATGTCAAAATACTTATCTAAATATTTTGGTCATTTCTGCAGCAGACAGTACAATTGGGAAACAAATAAGGGGAAAGTAAAACTACAGTTGTCTACTGCAATACAAGAAAGGCAGCACCATTCCATTAAGGAATCATTTAATTGGAAGTACTGAGTAGTACATCTTAGTTAAGCATTTGGTACAGGTAACTGATGGATGCACACTTTCATTAATAAGTTGTTTGACTGAAAGGAAGAGATTCTGTTTTCCTGTAAAGGAATTTCTGCCACTTATCCTTTTTCTTGATTTCTGTCAAACCAAGAGAAAGGCTACTCAAAGAATGGAAAGGATTCTTTAGACACGAAGCTCATCTTATTACTAAAAGCAATTAAGATTTAACTATGGAAAAAAAAGATACATTATTTCCATAATTGTAATGGAGTTTTCATGCAGCTGTTCACAAGGAAAATATGTGAAGGACTAACAGGGCATCATTAAAATCAAAAGCACCCATTTTAAATGGTTTGCAATCTGTTGTAAAACACACATGTTCCTAATGAAAGTCACAGCTGAGTTTAATTTCTTTTTAGATCGAGACTCCAATCCCATTCCTGTTTCCCTAGCCCTACTCCCATCACATTTCCACTTAATCTCTATCTGTGTTCTTGGTACCAAGCCACACAAATCTGCCAAGGAAGAAAGCAATTCAAATCAAGACTAACACTGCTTACTTTCTCTCCCAAAGAGAAACTTCCCTCAGGTCTGTAGGAGTTGTGCACATTTTGCAGCTCCTTCTTAAAGCTGAAGTAATACCCAGACTTTGAAAACAACAAGCCTCTGCAGAGTGGTAACAGGTAGGAAAAAACCTCAATGATTTATTTGTACAGAGTTCAACTTCCTTAATTTTCAAAACAATCATTTAATAGTACCAATAAGTTTTATTAAAAATCCCCAAAAAATCACATTTGTTAAGAACTCCCCACATATTAACCAACTTACGTTTCCATCAGGAAAAACAAGACAGTTTGTACAATCCAGGCAAATGGGGTCATATATATATAAACATTTATTGGATAACACAATTCAAGTTCTCCATCAGAACTACATACCACTTGTGTGAAATCCCTGAATTTGATTTTCATTTTTATGTTTCCAGGTAGAAACGTTACAGCTCGCACTTTGACAAAATACTGTATGATGCATTTTCACTTTATGGAAACAGGACTGCTTCTCTGGAGATTTTGCTCCCAGCAACTGATTGTCTTTGTGGTTTAAAACAGAACACTCCTAAGGTTTACAAGGAAAAAGTTCACTTTAAAACCATTTTCACAAAAAAATCTCCCCCCCCCCCCCCCCCAAACCCAATATTCAAACTTCAAACTTACTATCTGAAAATGTCAAGTTACAGTTAGTAACGATTGGACTAAACAATACAGTTTGACAGTTGGACTAGATGATCTTATGTGGTCCTTTCCAACACTGTGATTCTACATTCCAAACTCAGTACCTTAGCCTCCCACCTTCTCCATTTTGAGAAGGAGAAAGGAAGATTGTTCTCTCTGGAGAAGTCTTTGAGATATACTGCCAGTAAGAACTTCTTCAGACCACCTGCTGTGAGTGAGCCAGACTGAAGTATTTCAGCCAGTGATTGCCATGTGCTTTGTTTCCTTCCATTCTCTGTGGGTTCTCCGTTTTGAGATTTGAATCAAGCACTTAATGCCATCAAAAATTAATTCTAATTTAAAGTACAAAGTTGGGCTTAATCAGGATCAAAAAATGTTAAGAGTAGCAATGGGAGAAGCCAGTTGCATGGTACACTGATTCTGTACAGCAGGTTTCACAGAAGAAGTTGTTTTTGAAGGATATATTCACACACAATTTATACCCAATAGGATGATTAGGATAAGACCTCAGAGCTAGCAGGTATTTTTAGATTTTTGACTTTAAAAAATTCATCTGTTCTTCCTGTATGGGCACAGTTATCCAAATCTGAACTGATCAAAATTCAATGTAATTGATCTGTGAGACTCCATCAGTCCACTCTCTACCATGGCAAAGCAGCAGCTATCAGTGCATAGATACAGGCTAAACAGGCTTGAGTATTTTTATGACTAGTCACTACACTATCACTGGTCTCCCCTTCCATCAAAGACCATAAATCATACCAAGCACTTGACCGTGAGCTAAATTCATAAGACCATAGTTACTAAGTATGAGGAGATGATCTTTGCTTTTTCCTGCAAAGAAACCAGCCTTGCTTCCCAGTCTCTGGAAGAACTTCCCACTGATCACAAGATTAAGAGCTTGGGAGCATTGCTAGTCTTTTTTTTCTTCTTTGTAATAAGAAAGGTGAGCCATCACTTGGCTTGTAAGGCACACATTTAAAGACAAGTTTTAAAAACTGGCAATGGAAGAAAAAAAATGTAGCAAGAACAGAAGCAAAAGTAAAGGAGACTTCAATGCACAGTGCGTCATAAACCATAAGCAGCCTCACAGCCTACATCTGTGCATATACCTCAGTTTCCTCCGTAACATCTTTTGACTTTGTCATAGAATATGTTAATTTTATTGCCTTGTATTTTATTACAGTATTTGTCCTACTTGTTTTCAACATAGTTCTTGTAATGATGCTATATTACTATGCTGGAGCTTTTGCTGTTCTTCAGGTGTTCTTGTTTTGTTTGGTTGTGTTCCCCCCCTTTTCCCCACACTTAATTCCCTGAGACACTTTTCTCTCAGGCTCCTTGAAACAACAAAGTAAGGGTGCATTACATGCAAAGGAAATCACTTCTGTATAAGTGAACTCCTACCTTTGTCTTAGGAAGTTGAGGTTTAGTCTGAAGTGTGTTAGTGTTCACATCATTTTCTCTGCAACTGTTTTCAGCCCCTGCAGTATCCATGATGCTGCTCCCACACGTCTGAGTATTATAGCCACTGTCCACCTGAAATCAAGAAGCAGATTTTAAAACTGTACTCCAATTTACCACCAACAAAACCCCACAGATTTTATAACAGATGTAATTTGCATCTGATTAACACAACTTAATCCATACCACGTTCATTTGGTGTGAAAAAAAATAGGCAAGTGAATGGAAGATGTTCTGAATATTACATTGAGGTCAGTTTTACAGAGAAGCAAACTTTTTTACCTGAATACTACTGTTGTCGCACGGAATTGCACTACTTTCTGCAAGAGGTGACATGCACATGCGAGAGTTTTCAATACTGAAAGTAATCCCTGTCATAAAGCTGGTCATTGGTGCACTGCTATTGCCAATTGTTTCTTTTATCCAAGTGTTTTCTGACACTTCAGCTGCATCAGCCATATCTACAGTATTATTTTCCTTCAAGCCTTCTATATCCTGATAGGATGACAACCTTTGATGACAAGCTTCCGAATGATCTGGTGTGATAGACACCGTTGCAACGACGAGATGTGTACCAGGTGCAAAGGTGTCGCCATCTTGCTGACAGAAGTTGATTCCATTATCCACTTCTGGGAACCGCGCTTCTGCCGGAGAAGCATTTTCCTTGTCCTCATCCTCATCGTGATTTTCAACAGCAAATGGTATTCTAATGACAGAAGTTTGGTACTGGGCAGTTCCTCTACACCCTCCAAGCCTCATTGGAGAACAGTTTTTAATTGGAGAGCAACCATCTATATAAGGACTTCTTGTACTTGCAGGTGTCATTCTATTTGAGACAGAAGGAATATCTGGAGAACAAAATGCAAGTTTTCTTTGGTCTGTGAACAGTAAAAAACAAAAACAAAAAACGTTATTGCATCAGATGGACTTACAAGTTATAGTTCTCAAAGCCTTATCCTCCTTACAATAATTATAGACAGCCTCTCAGTATTTCACAGAGCACTGCCTCCTTGCTCCAAGGCCTTCAAAAACAATCATGATAAAGGAAACTTCTTAAATCCAAGTTTTATCACCATTTTGTTTCCTGTTGTGTATTTTGCATTTTCAAACAGTGATGCTCTATTCTGTTGACAGTACTGTGTGTGCAGGTTGCTTCTGTGGCTTTTTCAGAATTAATGAATGTAAATGTACATGTTCTACAGGCATGTAAAATAAATTTAAGTAGTAATAAAATTGTCAAGAAAAAAAATGAGAAAACACCAATGCAATCCCTATATATAACAAACTGTACTGAAATATTACAAGGCTGAAAGCAAAATCATGCATAAACATGGCCTAAGTCTCTCTAAATAATGGATGAAAGATGAGTGGGGCAGATAATAGGGCAGAAGGAAGGAGTGCCATACAGAGAGACCTCGAGAAACTCAAAAGGTGGGCCCACGTGAACCTAGTGAGGTTCAACAAAGCAAATTGCAAGGTTTTGTGCTTGGGTCAGAGTAGTCCCATATGTGCAGACTGGAAGGAGAACTCCTTGGGAGCAGCTTTATGGCATGGGTTGGAACTTGACAATCCTTGAGTTCCCTTGCAACCCATGCCATTCTATGACTGCATGATTTTCTAGAGCAACAATACCAACAGCTGTTGTTTCTTCACTAAAAAAAATAATTTTAAATCATCTTGATTGCCACGACTCGATAACTAAAGCTAAACATTTTCCAATTAAAGTGCTTTGGTTTGGGCCAAATAAAAACTGTGACTTGACTTAGTTCAGGTTTAAACCCCCTCTTTACATTAAATCAATCCCTTACATTTTGTTCATTAGGTCTCTATTCCTCTTTTCAAATAATTTTCTTTAGGGAAATGTATCTGCTTACAAAAAACAATTGTTTCACACAATTAAGGTATTTCACTGCCAGAAAGTAAGCGTGCCATACAGAAGGAGACTGCCGGTGTGCCAAGCTGCATGCCTTTCTGACTCTGAACAGAAACAAGTTCCAGAGCAGAACTGCTTTAATAATCAAATTATGTAAATCAAGAAAGAACAATACATATACAAGAAAACCATACCTGACAGCGGTGTATGTCTTATATGAAAAGCAATAGGTGAAAAAGTAGGAGAACCATTACGTGCAGGAGACCCTTCTGGAAATGAGGGACTGGTAATACTTCCTAGACTGTAAGTCCTTGCTCCTCCCTGGATAGGGCTAGATGAAAACTGACCCTTCATTAGCAAAAAAAAAAATAATAAATATATATATATATATATATCTTCATTATGTAGACTTAGAGTAACATGCATAACAAGCTCTCTAACTTATTATGGCAGTACTGAGGAAATTTAATCTTATAAGACAATCTGTTCTACCATTAGCTTGACTGAGATATTCCAGTTGCACTTTTCACTTTATACCAAATAAATTGTCACATTACATCAACTAAGATAGTTTGTAAATACAGTGGATGTTACTAATGAACAGCCTAAACAGTACGTACTTCTTTGCATAGTCAATTACATCTTACTCATACCATGACAGATGAAAGCTGACCACTATTTATATTTAACAGAATCAATTTGAATTACTTATTGCACAAGCAGATAAAGTTCTCCTCAAGAAGGAAAAAAAAAAGAAAAAAGAGAGACCTTGCTTAAGAGAGTGTGGTGCAAAAAAATCTCCAAACAGCATAACTGTGTTGTAGGAATACATTACCAGTTTTCTCTAATACAGACTACTTTTGAGCCATACTCTTGTTAGGACTGTGTTTTTCTCCCACACACTTCAGTTTCCAAACAGATGAAGCCACACCACCTGAAACAGCTTAGCTGTGCTATGGTTACATTGGTGTAGGATTCACCTCACTTAATTTAAGACACAGACATTATGTTTTGTGTTCTAATATTTATCTGTTCATCAGAATTCACTAGTCAATGGAGAGGGGAAAAGAGCATATCTAGCACTGTATTCAGAGACCTATTCATATGACAAGTTATTTCTTCCACCACAAATGTTTATGAGATACAAGGGAATGTAATTATATCCCTGCTCATATCAGCTAATATTTTAGACAGTTCACTGATTTAAATAGGTATTTTTTCCATGTAAACATACTTTATGAACAAGCAGTTCAGTAGTTTATATACCAAATCCTACGTAATTTCCATAGCAGAAGGAAGTTAAAACATAATCCCTTCAATAGAGAATAGCAGCACAGCATCACATCTTTTTTAGAATTAAAAATTAGTTGCATTCTCTCAAAATTGTTGCTCATATAAATTGTTCTGAAAACGTAATTAAAAAACATTGGCCTGATACCTAATCTCCTATAAAGCTTACTACAGAAATATGATTGTCTTGAGTTTGTCAGAAAATAGAATTGATACAGACTGCTGTAAAGAGTTTGTGCCAATAAAGTCACCTCCCATCCATCTCCCATCGGGCTACTTACTGAACTAGATGTTTCCAGGGGGCTTCTACACCGAACTGGAGATATATCTATTGAGCAAAGCACTCCAAGTGGCTGACTACTGCATGGATTATGCAGAGAAGGGGTCAAACATTCAGATATGTTTCCATTTTCTTCCAAAAACAGCTTTCTTCGGAGTGATGAAGAGCTCAGATTTTCCTGAGACTGATCTGCAAATTCATCAGTTCTAAAATATTCACCTAGAAATGAAGGGAAGGCAGTTGTTTCCAATAAGAATGGAAGAAAAAAAACCTTCCACTATGGAGGCATACATTGCAAAAGTAAAACATACAATTCAATTCACCAATACAGCAAGAAATTAAATCTAGGGACCTCTTCCAAATGAAGACTTGTTACCATACAACAAATCCACTGTCTACCATAGTTCCATTTCTGACTATCATCCTTAATGCTTTAACTTGGAAGAATAGGTTGTTATATTGTATAGGTAAGACAAGACTCTTTTTCAAGTCTCTCATGTGCTTTGATGGTCACAGACTCAACCTGAAGTTAAAGCAGTTATAGTTTACAATAGAAAATCATATCAACGAAAGTCATTCAAGTATCTTGCTCTATTCTAATTGCTCTTTTTCTTGTAAGAGAAGTTGTCATGAATTAATAATCTACTCACTGATGGAAGCATTTGTCAAGGTCTAACACTAAAGTTGTTTGTATAGTTCTGTTAGGTTTGTAACACAACCTCAACTTAACTGGCACAATTAGGGTTGCGAACTTCAGTATTGGGAGAGAAGCATGCAGCCAAACGCCTCTGAACTGCCTATTCACATACACAAACTGTAAGCACAGGGCTTTCCTGTCCTCTTTCCTGCCTGAGAATCCAACAGCAATTGCTTGAGATAATAGTTATAACCCGTCTGTTAATTTTGGTCTAGTCTCCGTCTCTCCTCAGGGATCAGGGCATTTTTGCCACCACATAATTTCTAGTCACCTCCACAGACATATTGAAAGGCACAGAATTACAGCATAGATTTGCTCAAGGCCAGGCTATGCGCCTCACTGACAGCGAGCTGTGCGTAAATCAGCTCTGCAAAGATAAGTAACCCCCTGCTTGAACGTGGAAAAAAGTTTTTCTGCTTGGTAACTTGCTTGTATTTGATGTTTTTACTGTATTCCCAATTGACCTCCATATCACTCCAATCTCACTTTTATGCCTAAACTCTAATCTGTGAACTTCCTTAGGTATCCCATGCAATATACAGAACATGACTACTTTTAAAAACCACTTAACATTCCCTTAAAATTCTCATTCATACATTAAGCAAAAACAAGACAAAAATAAGACAAAAACACATCTATTTGGACATCTATAATTAAGTTTAGAAATTGTAACACATACGTACCTAGGATTTTCTCTAAATTAAAATCTACTGGCAAAGACAGTACTGTTTGACAAGCAGCTACAATGAATAAAAACAACAAAATTAGCTTACAGTGAACTTTCAGTAAAACCAAAGAAACAAAAATTTGCTTTTAAATTGCACTGTGATAGAGCTATTTAGAAGTTAAAGTTGCAGTAAGGAAAACTGTTAATTAAGGCTAGGATTCTGATTTGTCAACACTATACACAGCATATTCAGGCCTAGAGATAAGATAGAGGGCTGCAGCATAGAGGCCTCCAGAGAGAGATGCTTAACTGAAAAAAGAACTCTGATAAAAGGCAGAATTGAAAATGAACTGGGAGAAAGATCAAAATACCCTGGAGAAAAAAACGCTTATCTAAAATAGCAGAAATCTTAAGACCTCTTTTAAACTGCTTATTTGGCAGAGAGAATAACCAAGATTCCGTTACTCAAAACAATTCAACACATTAAAGACTTACAGTTTTGAGAATTTCCCCATAAACCCACAGCTTATATTCAATATTTTTTAACTCAGACTATGCATATATATTTGGACTTGGGAAAAAATGCATTCTACAGAAGATTTTTTTTTTTTTTTTTAACTTCTGGAAAAAATATACCTATACGATAATTAAATTACTATGGGAAACATAAAAGTCAGTAGTAATATACAGTTCAAGAATAGTTATTTCTACATGAATACTAACAAAAAAAAAAACTGACTCCCCCTTTTCAAATTAAGTAGTCCTAAAAAAAGAGGTCATTACACTTCAAAGAAAACCTGCAATCAGACAACACTTTTTACTCACCATTGGTTTTCCCAGGCAAAGTTAGCTGTCTTCCAATTGGAGAAATGTTATTTAGATCTATGGCTGTAAGACAGGTAAGAAATTTAAGCATGAATTGCATACAGCTTTGAAACACAGCAGCATTAAGTTAGTGTACTTGATACAGAAGCAGTTGTGTAGTTTGTGTAGTTTGATTAAGGCTTGGCAGAGCATAGAAAGGAATGCTTAAGAAAAGTTGGAATTATAGCTGATAACAGAATTCCAGCACCTTTCTAGAAGCTTTGTGAAGGAGCATCAACCTTGCCCAAAACTTTGTCCACTCCTCTACCTTGCATGGGCTGTTTTCACGCAAACACATCTGCAGAAAATCATGTAGTCTGGACTTGAAGACAAAAATGAACAATCTACCACTCCATCCTCTGTATACAGCTAAGAACATTCAAACATTGTTTTACCACTCACTTTCCTAGGTTTAGGATTGTGCTCTATGTCCTTTAATCAGTAATTGGTTACTTGAAAACTCACAATTAAAAACACACCATTCAGAAGTTGTATAGACTTCACAAAATATCCTAACAGTTTATCCTCAGTCAAAACTTGCAAAAAAAAAAAAAAACCTAAGGATTTTCTGTCAAATAGTCAACACTTCATAGCCAACACTTGTCCAGCTTCTCATTTGTTCACTACACAATCTGCTGGTTATGTCTACATTTATACTAAAACCAAATAACAGCATAAATTGAATAAGTTTAGTAAAACCTAGAATACTACATACACAAACAGTGAGAAAGCAGAGCACCAAGAGGACAACAAGAATTAACACGTCAAATAAAGCTAGAAAGAAATGGAACTCTGTTCCAATGTATTTATACTGATGGGAAAGCAGATAGAATATGAGAGATGATGGATGACCAGGGGAACTACAGGCCAGTGAATCTCACCTCTGTGCCTTCGGAGCATCCTAATAGAAGCTGTGTTAAGGCACATACCAGATAAAGAGGTGATCCAAGACAGCCAGCATTGCTTCACCAAGGGCAGATCATGCCTGACCAATCTGGTGGCCATCTGTGACGGAGTGATGGCTTTGGTGGATGGGGGAAAGCTGGTGGATGTCATCCACCTGGACTTCTGCAAAGCTTTTGACGTGGTCCCTCACCACATCCTTCTCTCTAAAATGGAGAGCTGTGGATTTTGAAGGATGGACTGTTTGATGGATGAGGAAATGGCTGGCTGGGCACAGCCAAAGGGTTGTGATCAATGGTTCTGTCAGGGTGGAGGCTGATCACAAGCGGGGTCCCTCAGGGGTCGGTCTTGGGACCAATGCACTTCAACATCTTCATCAATGACACAGATGATGGCATCAAGTGCACCCTCAGCAAGTTTGTGGATGACACCAAGCTGAGCGGTGCAGTCAATACATTGGAGGGAAGGGAAGCCATCCAGAGGGACTTGGACAGGCTGGAGAAAAGGGCCAATGAAAACCTAATGAGGTTCAGTAGGGCCAAATGCAGGGTGCTGCACTTGGGTCGGGGCAATCCCAGGTATTTATACAGACTGGGGGAAGATCTCCTTGAGAGCAGCCCTGCAGAGAAGGACTTGGGGGTCCTGGTGGATGAGAAGCTGCAGGAACCAGCAGTGTGAGCTTGCAGCCCAGAAGGCCATTTGTGTTCTGGGATGCATTAAAAAAAGGGGGTGGCCAGCAGGAAGAGGGAGGTGATTGTCCCCCCCCTACTCCACTCATGTGAGGCCCCATCTGGAGTACTGCATCCAGGCCTGGGTCCCCCACTATAGGAAGGATGTGGAGCTCTTGGAGCAGGTCCAGAGGATGGCCACTAAGATGATCAGAGGGCTGCAGCACCTCTCCTATGAGAAAGGTTGAGGGAACTGGGCTTGTTTAGCTTGGAGAAGAGAAGGCTCTGGGGAGACCTCATTGTGGCCTTCCAATACTTGAAAGGAGCATATAAACAGGAAGGGGTATAGCTGTTCACAAGGGTGGACAGTGATAGGACAAGGGGGAATGGTTTTAAACTGAGATAGGGGAGATTTCAGTTAGATATCAGGAGGAGGTCCTTCACACAGAGGGTGGTGACATACTGTAACAAGTTGCCCAAGGAGGTTGTTGATACCCCATCCATGGAGGTGTTCAAGGCCAGGCCGGATGTGGCTCTGGGCAGCCTGGTCTGGTGGTTGGCAATCCTGCACATAGCAGGGAGGTTGACACTCGATCATTATGTTCCTTTTCAACCCAGGCCATTCTATGATTACATGCAGATATTGGAGATAAAAAAAAAAAAAATAGAATGAGACAGAAGAGCTGTCTATTCTCAATATTGTCTCAGCAACATTATGTCTGTCTGAAGCTGGCTGAAGAAAGGTTAGGACAGGAAACAAAGCATTAAGAACAGGATCTCAAAAAGCAAATCTGAAGAAAACAAGTAAGATTCAGGATTAATAAATGATATTCAAAATAATAAAGCACTTGGAGAGGACTGCTAGAAATCCCATCAGTTGTGTCATCTCTCAGCAGTGCTTCTGGAAATTTAAACTGAGATTGGAAAAAAAAAAAAAAAAGATAATTATTCCCAATGCTGGACTTTGAGCGGACAGATGAAAGCTACTTACATTTTGTTGAATTAAACTGTGAAACTTGCTTGCCTTCATGTTCAGTCCAAGGAGAAGGAACTATGAGACTCTTTGTGAAAAACTAGATCAGAAAAAACACAGTAACATTTTCGCAGGCCTGCAGAATGAAACTGTACAGAAGTTTCATTTAATACTAATTACTCATCCAAAAATGCAAATGATCTCTATGGTGCTTACCCCATACTACCACCCTGGCAGAGTAATTTAGCATAGTTCTTCTCAAATTCCAGTTTTACAAATTTTGTCCTTTAATAACTAGACTATTTTGAAGAAGTACTGAAAGGATTCTGCATTAACAACAGACAAAGAGGATGACCAAGGCTTTTTGGCAATATTTTAAATGCGCTTGGATAAACCAGCTAACAGTGAAATATGTATGAGCACTGTCCTTCAGAGTTTGGGGTTTTTTTTGGTTTTTTTCCAAACTAGAAACCATACCTGCTGTCACAGCTACAACATAGAATGCTCAGATGTTAAAGACACGAGCACTACTATACAGCTTCAAAAAACACATGGCAAGTTCTGTTCTCACAACAGAAGCTAATCTTAAGCAAGAAAACTGAGCTTGAAAGATGCAGCTAGCTACCCAAGCTATGAAGGTTATCCAACAGAGACAGGGTTGCAGGATGTTCTTGTGCCTTACAATGAATCCTTTTAAAATGCAGATTTAAAGCAGTCGAGTAGGTCAGGAAAGGTTGGCTTCTCCAAAAGAGGGGTCAGACACTGGAATGGGCTACACAGGGAGGTGGTGGAGTCACTGACCCTGCAGGTGTTCAAGGAATGTTTAAGATGTTGTAGTGAGGGACATGGTTTAGTGAGAATTATTGGTGATAAGTGGACAGTTGCACTGGATGATCTTGGAGGTCTTTTCCAAACTTGGTGACTCTATGATTTTGTGAGTATCTTAGACATAAGCCAACTAAAAAGCATCTTTACAGAATCATAAAACAGACAGAAACATTCACCAAGCTTCTGCTACACATTTTTTTTTTTTTTTAAAAGCAGGAAAAGAATCATAAACTACCCTACATTAATAATTCCTGGAGGGAAACCAACACAAAAGATAGAAAATATACTATTTTCACCTAAAGGCATGTAAAAGACAACAAAAAACAAAAGAGCATTCCAACTGTATTGCTGCAAGGGATAGGATGCAAAAATTACTTTCTTACCACTCAGGAAAACTGTGGATTTTGAAGTTCTATAATCAACTTTTTTTTTTTTTTTTTCTTAAAGCAAATAGCTAAAATGAAACAACGATTTTTAAGCACAGAAAGCTTTATTACCTCCTCAATGGCTTTCTGCCTCCTCTCTTCTGTCTCCTTATCAATTCTAAGGAAAAACACCAACAAAAAACTAATTAAGTTACCGAAAATCACAATTGGGAAAAAAAAATAATGTTCAACCATGTCTGTAGACTGAAAGGTGCTTACAGCGAGAGCGGGGCTGGTCTCTTCTCACTGGTGACAGATGAGGGGAAATGGCCTCAAGTTGTGCCAGTAAGTTTAGGTTGGATATCAGGAAACACTTGTTTACAGAAAGGGTTGTGAAGCACTGGAATTGGCTCCCCATGGAGGTGGTTGAGTCACCATCCCTGGATGTGTTTAAAAACTGTTTGGATGCGGTGCTCAGGGACATGATTTAGTGGAGGGTTGTTAGAGTGAGGGCAGGATGATTAGGTTGTGGTTGGACTCGATGACCTTTAAGGTCTTTTCCAACCTGAGCAATTCTATGATTCCATGATTTGAGAAAAACATGATAAACAAAATTTAACCCCATCTTAAAATATTTCACAGTTAAAGCAATGAATTCATATCATAAACTTAGAAACAGACAAACACTTTTCAGTTACTTCAGTGATTTTGAAAAAGATGTATACAATTCCTAAGTACAGATTCACTGCCCTATTTACTCCTTGCACTAGCAAGCTTTTTATTGGAACAAAAAGTCAATAATAATTGATTTTTCAAAATAATCCATTCAGTTATGTTCAGGTTCAGATGAATACCTTTTACTGCTGAGGTTACCATGAAAGTAGGCTTACAAAATCAGAAGAATTTAAGATGTTTGCATTCTGAAGTTCCCAAGACAGCCTACTTTCCCAGCAGAGTTCCCCCTTTTAAATGACTGCACTGCCATATTTTCTTCAGCTCAAGAACAAAACATCATGTTTCAATTTGAATCAGCTAACACATTCCCTTGAACACCTTTGCAAAAAATAACAAATGAAAGTAGAGAAGTCTGAATTACATAATAACTTTTCTTTAGAAAAAGAATTGTATTTACATCAGCCATCTCCAAACGATGTGTTACGTTCTACATTTCTACTTCCTTTAACTGTCACAATCAAATCTTACTTCTAGGGTATTTTTTAATAAGCTTCAAAAAGATTACAATGAACATTCATAATCTTAGGAAGATTAATCACATAATGCTTCCATGCATAATTAATATCCCTGAGTACATCACTTTAGAAATCAGTCAGATAACAGACATTATTTGCCATACAAACATGTACAGGGGTACCTGTACATAAAATTTCTCATAGCCCTCCTTGATGGGAATCGGACTTTGAACAGATCTGCAATACTCTGAAATGCTATTTTCAGTTACGTTGGACGATGCTGAAGACGCTGTAACAGTTCAGTGAAGACACTTGCCCCAAATTTCACTATCATACTAAAAGAACATGCATACAATCACTGTTTGTGCACAGTGGATCATGATTAATAAGTGTCTCTACAAGCCAGATTCCAAAGGAGAAACAGTAAAACCAACAGTGCAGTAGGCGTACAGTATGGATGGCCAGTTCATGAAAACAGTAATATTGCAGAAATCTAATTCTACACATGATGCACATTCAGACTTTGCAAAGCACTCTGAAGCTTTCACACTGCTGCTACCCAATGTTTCTATTACATAATGGAGAATTAACTGTTGAAAATATTCACCAAATTCCTTATGCTTGTGATAATTTGCAATTGTTGACAAGCGTTATTAAAATCAAGCATACAGTCTGTGCAACATAACACAGGTTTCAAGAAGTCAATTCTTTCATCTGGCAGGTGTAATGCCAAGAGCTGTATTTATGACACTCTTTAGATTCCATAAAGCAGTGTTTATGCTGTGTACATTGAGTTGCCATACAGTTTTATATGCTTAGACCTCTATGCATTCAATCATGTACTCAGAAACAGCCTCCTTTGTCTGTACGACACTGCAATAGGCAGCCACGGCCACACCACATCTAGGCAGACTGAAAAACACTGCAGCAAGCATGAAGCAATGGGACGGACTGAAAAGACCCACTGAGACAACATGTTTATGTTTACTGGCCACAGCACTAATCATCACTTGAACTGTCACATAAGCCACGTTAGTGTCAAATACAATCCCTCAGTAAGATCCAAGCCTGTTTTACTTCAGTCATTTGTTGTACCCACAGGAAAACTCAAAGAAAGGAAAGTTGAGATAAAGATCCCCAAATTACTTTACGCAACTACTAGTCTTCTCCTCAAAGAGAGCAAGATTATTGGTCTTTCCTCCCTCACATTAATTCCAGTCTGTACCTTTCAAATAGTACTGCCTTCGCCAGCTCTATCCTTCTGCAGGAGTCCCAAAAACACTTATGCTTCATAGGTCCCAAAACTGTACACTCCAAGAAGATAAATAGCGTTGTGACAAGAAGCAGGAGAGAGAGCCAGACAACATTCATTGGCAAGGCATTTTTCTTGCTTCTGCTGACTGCTGTATCTGGCTATCCTCCAAACTGCAATCAGAGAGGATCGGCAGTTCTTAAGATTTAAAAACAGCAACCCAGAAGTGGCCGCATCTGAATATTATATTCACATCAGGAACAAGAAAATGTATGTTGAAAAACTGGAATGAAAGGTTTTTAACGACGTGAGAAATATAACTAAAGCAAATGAACAGTGTTCTGCTATTCAAGCTAAGTTAACAGCATAAAAACAGATGGTAAGTTACCTAGCGTGACTCAAATACATTGCTTGGCGTCGGATATCTTCTGAGTCAATTTCCACAGGATTTATTAAAGCAAGCTGATCAATAGACCATCTAAATTTTCCTGGTGTCTGAAAAAAACAAATGCACATATGAATACTTGCTGATCTAAAAATATTTTTTTAAAAGGGAAGCTAAAAATCAGGCTTTCTTGTCTTGATGGTGGAATTAAAATAATTATGAGATAATATTAAGTGAAAGACTACTAAGAATTACTAACCGAGGTGTCATGTTATTCCCCCTGCATTTCTGGGGGACAGGCCCACTAAAGATCTGAAACATGGGATAAAGTTTAGTTGCTTCTAGATAGACACAATGAAAACTGTGGCTCCCTGAAAGCACTTCAATCATCATCCAAGCCAGGATAGTATAGCAACCTTCCTTTTACTTTACATTTCATGGGAGACACAGGACAGCCTTTAAGCAGGCCACAGAGACTCACTTCGAGGCACTGTCAGTCATAGTTCATAAAATCCAGTTTGGGAATAAAGCAGTGTAATTCATTTATGTAACACTTTAGTACAAAATACTGAGCAAGTAGCATTTAGAAAAACAGTCTAGCAAAACACTCTTTCTAGTTTCATTATCAAGAAGGTGGGAAGACCAAATTACAGTATTAGCATTAAATGAAGCATACTGAGGTAACTGAAAGAACCAGAAAAACACCTCAAGTTCTTTGGGTTAGTACACTCTACATCAAATAAATGCACTGTGTTACGTGCTTTGAAGTATTAGCACTGCATACAACAGAAGATGAGATCTTACAGATGAAGATTTTGTTGATTTGAAGACGGAAGGACTGGAGACAATCTGCTCCTGAAGGGTGCAATAATCATTGGGACTTTCAAAAGGATTCAGGACTGTGACCCGCCCAGGAGTTTCGGGGCTGATCTGCATGTGGGCTTCTTCCGTATCGCCCATAGCACCGCGCTGTTCCTGGGGAAGAGAAAAGAGGGAAATGCGAGGGGAGGAAATCATCATTCTGACTCGTCAGGGTCATCCTAAACATTTCAGCAGATGACCGATCACTCAGAGGAGACAGAAAACTCATAACGGCAAAGCAGACTTTGGCTTGGGCGAGTGAGAAGCCCATAAACGAGGCTGGCACAAAGACAAAACTTAAAAAATAAAGCCAAAGGAAACAAGACACTGAAAACGCGATTGAAACAGAAACGGGCAGGGAGTAAACCAATCGCTTTCCTGCCGTCAGCTCGCGTACCGAACGGCGGCACTGTGGGGCCTCAGAGGCGAGCAGCTGTCAGCAGCAGCCGGGGTCGCTGCCCCGCAGCGATAAGGCCCCACACTCCTCGCAGACCAAGCAGCGCACACAGCGGGGAGCGGAGGACCGGAGCCGCGTGTCGACGGGACAGCCACATCAACGGCCACCCCCCGCTCCTCAGGCCCGGCCAGCCCGTTCGAGGCCCCGCTACCTGCATCAACACCGCACCGCCGCTACCGAGCCGCCACCGCGACGTTCGCTCATACCCGACTGCAATCTAAACCGCCCGCCTCCGCCGCGCCGGGCGGCTCTTTAACCACTCCCGCCCCTTCCCGGATTCTGCCCAATCAACGCGCGTCGCGGCCGCCGCCGAGCCAATCGTAGGTTCCCCTCGTCTCACAAACGGACCAATCGCTCGGAGAGCCGCTGCACAAATTCGAACGTAAGCCCACCTCTCCTCTTCCTGCTGCCGAGCGGGAGGGTTCCGTTTGGGGGGAGGGGGGGATGTCACGTGGCGGGGGGAGGCGGGAGCGCCCGAATGACGCGGGGTCGAGGGTGTCCTTTTGCTTCCGGGTAGGCGGTCGCCATGGCGAGCAATGCCGCCAGCCTCAACGCCGTGCGGGAGACGATGGACGGTGCGCGCTCGGGGCTGGGAGGGGGGTCTGCCCTATCCCTTCGTTGCTTGAGGCGGGCGGGGTTGTGGGTGCGGCCCTTTCCGTTGTGCCGGTGCTTTTGGGTCTCGTGATGCTTCTCGGTTTGCTGCTGAGCGCTTAATAAGGCATAACGGTTTGTAGATATGTGGGGTTGGTTTCAGTAGTTTGCTCGAAGTTGGCAGTGTGAGTTGCGTTATGCGGCCCAGGCTGGGAATTTGGTGGAGGGTGGCAAACCTGTGGGGCTGTAGCAGCTGTGCCTCCGTCTGTGGGCTGTCCCTGTCTGCAGCAGAGAGCACCACTGGGGCCTCTTTGTTGACCTGTTAGCTCAGGTAACGGGCCTATTGCTGAGAGCTCCGCTTAGTCTGTGTCTCTCCTTTGAGGAAGGGTGGTAGTGAAGAACTGTGGAATTGTTTCAGTTGGAAAGGGCCTTTAAATGTCATTTGGTCCAACTTCTCTACAGTAAACAGGGACACCTACAGCTCCATCAGGTTGTTCAGAGCTTTATCCAGTCTAACCTTGAATGTCTCAAGGGTGGAGTGTCTGCTGCCTGTCAGAGCAACTTTTATCATAAAATCACAGAGTGGCCTTGGTTGAAAAGGACCACAGACATCATCGAGTTTCAACCCCTGCTATGTGCAGGGTCACCAACCACAGACCAGGCTGCCCAGAGCCACATCCAGCCCAGCCTTGAGTGCCTCCAGGGATGGGGCGTCCACAGCCTCCTTGGGCAACCTGTTACAGTGCGTCACTGCCCTCTGAATTAAAAGCTTCCTCCTGATATCTAACCTAAACCTCCCCTGCCTCAGTTTAAAACCAAATCTCCTATCTTTTAGCTTGAAGCCATTTTTCCTTGTCCTCTCTCAACAGACCCCGCTAACAGGTCTGTCCCCTTCTTACAGGCTTCTTTTAGGTACTAACAAGCTGCTATCATGTCTCCCTGAGCCTTCTCTTCTCCAGGCTGAACAGCCCCAGTTCTTTCAGTCTTTAAGAAGCTCTGAGGAGAGCAGTTGCTACTACAGAATTTGAGTAGATCCTGATAAAGAAAACTGAGGCTCTTGTGGGTTAAACAGTGTGGCAGAATGGCATTGTAAGTGTTGGCAAATTTCTAAATTTCTGAGATGTGGGAAATATAGTCAGGATGTTTAAAGAGCAATTGTTCACTTTCTCCCCCAAGCCAACTATAGGTAATTGAGGATAGCAGGTATGGGAGATGTATTTCAATTGTGTCTTCAGTAAGCATGAAATGAATGCTAAAAGCTTACATGGGTTTCAGACTGAGGGGAAAGTTGATGAGAAGTCCCTTGAGTTGAGTATGGAGACTTCTTTTAGAAATGCTCTAAGGAGGGTCTGGAGACACTGGAGGCACGTATTCACTTGTATTGCTTAATATTTGCTATCTTCTTACATCCTTACCTTGTATTCTAGCTATGACTGTATTCTTTATCTAAGACCTTGTGACCTTGTGTAGCCTTTGACCCAGTATTTTCATCAAGCAGCTGCTTTTGGAGGCAAGGCAGGACTGGCAGGCCTGTTAAGGCTGTGTTGGTGCTCCTGTGTGCCTGAAGAGAGATTTGTTTGGGAAGGACGGTGATACTAAGCTTTATAACTGTACTTTTATAACTGCCCTTTTTCCATTTCTGCAGGATGGCAGGCAAGAGCATGCAGAATTAAAGGCTAAGTAAGGCTTTAAGAACTTCAGTGAAAAGTGTGCTAGCTTTCAGATTTTGGAACCCATGCTTCCTTTGTAACAATATGTATATTTAGGATGCACTCTCATAATTTAATCTACTGAGGTCAGGTAATTTTATGGAAGTAAAATTTCCATTTACCTAAAAAAAATAAAATACACTTGATGCTTAAAGATTTGGCTTAAAGGAGTCCTCATCCTTTTGCAGTATTTAGTAAATTGCTGTAGGGTCCTTCCTGCTGTTCAAAATATTTTTTTGAAATTTTTGTTTGACAAATGTGCTTATAAGCACTTTCTTTTTGTGAAGGCTGATGGCTATGTTATGTAATTAGCTTTTCCTTGAATAAGACTCATCATGAAGAGAAAAAAAAAAAAGACCTGTGATGAGGTTTTTCAGACCTAGAATAGAACAGGGAAGCTGTGCTGCAACTTGTTTTATTGTCGCATATGAAATGCACGTAAAGGAAGCAAATGGGTTGGTAGAAGTAGTTTTTAAAAAAACACAAACAATAAATGTTAGGCAAGTGAAACATTTGATTTAGAATATCATATGTACACATTTAGTTGTGATTCTCTGCAGAATTGTTAAGAGCTCAAATTTTTGTTAGAGAAGCTTTTGCATCTCAACCAAAGATGGCTCAATGCTTAGATACTGGCAGAGACCAGTGAGAGCAACTCTTTCTGGCATAAGAAACTTGAGCTTATCATTTTTCACATGTACTTCTCTGCCTTCAGGTATGTATCAGGCTTAGTAAATTTTATAATGAACTTTTAAATGAGTAGAAAAAATAACAGTTCTTTGTTTCTGGAAAGACTAAATAGTCTTTAACACTTTTGGAGCAGTTAATGTTCAATTGCATTTTATTAGAAATGCATCAATTTGTTGTTGCTCTATGTGAGTGTTGGTCTTCCAAAAGGGCAGGGTGTGCAGTGTAATGGACCATGTGGAGTAGTTTACCTTCAAGCTAATGGAAGTCAAATACTGTGTTGTGGTGGGGGCAGCTTTCTTTGTGTCTTGTAGCTAGTACTGTGGTCTGGCAGACTGCTTTCCTCTCTTAAGTGTATTCTTAATCAAATCTGCTTATGGGGCTTCATGAGTATTGATGTACTTATGTGGAAGTCAGTGTTTATTTTTTTATTTAACACAATATTTGGTTTTTCCCTGTGAATTCCACGGGATGGAGTGGATGTGTTAGGCCTTCAGTGGCTTGGCCTGGGTAAATGCAACTCTGAGGCTATGCTACAGTGTTTGGTATACTGGCATAGGCTATTTCCAGAGCTGTCAAGTGGACAGTAGTCACCATATTGATTTCATGTGGTAAGGATGACCTGCTTCTTTCCCCTAATTTGGGACTGTAAATAAATGAAGTCTTAGCTTCATGGTTGTGAGTACTGTAGCATAAACAAAGTAGTGACAAGGTGTGGTGTTGTGCATATAATGAAAACTGTAAGGGTACCAGGTAAATGGGGCCTTCCATGGAGCCTTTGGAAGAGGGCGACTTGTTTGAATGCAAAACTGACTGTGATCTCCTTCAACAAAAAGTTTCATACTGACACGTGATCATGTCATTCTTCACAACAAATACAATTCAAATACTGTTACTTATATTCAGCCTGCTGGTAATGTTAGACATAAAGCTCGGTGTAGCTATAGGAGGAAAGGGCTGTAAAACTGAAAACAACTGTCAAAGCTTCTAGTCCATTTGAGTAGGGCTTTCAGTAAGTGTTTGGAGTTCAAAAGCAGCTATTCTTATAGCCATCTTTCAGATAATTAGCAAGCATTTTAATAACTGATTTTTTTACTCACTGTTTTCTGTTATATTGAAGTCATTCAGAACCTGTGGCTTCTACCTTATACATTGGAAAACCAAAAATGAATACTGTTGAGATTCCATGACTGCTACTTCCACGCTCTACAGGAGAAATTCAGTTTTGATGAATGACTGTTCTGATCACTGTAGGGACTAATTCGCTTTTCTTTTTTCTCTTGCAGTCCTGTTTGAGATTTCAAGAATATTGAACACTGGGTTGGATATGGAGACCTTGTCTATTTGTGTGCGGCTTTGTGAACAAGGCATCAACCCAGAAGCACTGTCTTCTGTTATTAAAGAACTGCGTAAGGCTACAGAAGCTCTAAAGGTAATGCTGTTGCCTAAAAAGCACACGCTTTTAAGAGAATCGGATCCATGCTTCAGTTTGCTATACTGCAATTTCTAAGTTTTCCTTTAAAGTAAAAAAAAATATGTATATAGATATATACAAATTTATCTTCTGGATGCTTTCAGCCACTGTTTGCCCCTTTATCTGCATCATGTCCTGACTTCATTGCAGCTCTCTTCTTCAGCCTGTATCAGCTCCTTATACAGCCTCAGGCCTCATAGTATGCAGCAATACTTGTAAACAAGTTCACGAAGGTGTTGTGGCTAACGTAGTCTCCACACATTGCTGTAACCCCATTAGCCTGTGCTTTACATCTTTCAAAAGACAAATTACAGCATTTCATGGTGTGTGCATCATAAATACCAAACTACAAAAAGCCATATATAACTTTGGTTAATAGGGAAGATAACTATAGTTAAAAAATCCTCATCTGCCCTTTAAAGAATGCCTACCTAAACACTCTGGTATCTTATGTTGTTTATATACCTGTTTTTGAAGACTATGTTCTGATTCTTAGAGAACTCAGCTTTTAGATTTGACTAGATGCATACTACTCAGGGCTTTTTTTTCCCCATTATTTTTCAGTTTTTTGACTATTTCTAACTCTCCTACACTTGTGCATATTTTATATTTGCTTACATGTTTAATGTGTGTATATAAGCTTAATTGTGCATATACATGATTGAGGGATGTTCTATTTCTTCTCTGTTGTAGTTGTCTTATTATTTGTGTTGCTTTCATTTTCCCTTTTTATCTCATAACTGGCTTCAAATCTGCAACATAAATGATGTCTGTT